GCATACAACAGGATGGCGGGCATATAGTCCTCCTTGATGTAAATGTCTGGCTACAATATTTTGGGAGATTTGCTTGCCAGCAGCAGCAAGTAACTGATTTGCAATCTCAGTAGGTGTGCTGCGCTGGTTCTTTTTGTCGACAGCACTACGTACCTAAATCCTGCAGGCGTCACACTGCAAACACAACCTCCCCCCCCATGCCGTTTGCTACACATTCCAGTTCTTTGAAATGATTTCCAAAGCCTTGAAACAACACTGTGGCTGACATCGAACTCCTTAGCAACATCTGTTATTTTTCACCTTTCTTTAGGATTTCCAACAAACAGCAGCACGCAAAATAAACCAAGTGATGTCGGGAAAAGGCATACCGAAAATTTCCCATTCATCAACTGATTCTTCCTTGTTAAACTTTGCTTTTGAAAAGCACAGATCAACATGTATAAAATTTTAGACCTCTCTTAACCTGCATATTATGTTACAATACAAAATCCATAATCCGGATTCGTCAGGACTTTGCAATTCTGGATTATAGATCATCAATTTAAATCTGGTAAGATGGCATGCAGAAATTATACAATTAAAAATATGAAAACATAACTTATGAAATAAAGAGCAATTATGATAGAAAGGGTATCAAAATTTACAAAAAAAAAAAAAAAAAAAAAAAAGCTTAATATTTATTTTACTTTATTAAACATTTCTTTCGATGTAAGTTGTTTAAGTTGCTTCTTTTTTTGTGATAATACTTTCTCTTTAATTCTATAAACAGTCATTAATTTCTTGTTCAATTATACACACATAATCTCTTATAAAGTTCCACCGTTCAAGTCCTGTAATTGCTGTGTTGAGAATACCGACTAACTTGTCAATTGAAATTTTTTCGTTTTCAATAACCTCTCTGTCACTTTTTTCACTATCAGAAGCAGTATTTTCTGTAACTAGAACCATACTACAGATTTCGCCATCCGTTGATTGATTGCTGATTGAGAAGCATTGTCGTTGCAATGAAAAACTTCTGTTATATCATCTTCATTTATTACCGCTTCTCCAAATTTCTTTACAAACTCCTATAACTGGAAAATTTCACCTTTAGTTTGCAATGTCCGAAAACCTTCAAATTTGTGGCTATCATCTTCATAGTCCTTACCATGAAATATGGTAGCTGGCCAAAAATTATACCAAGAATTTTTTAATGTATCTGGAGACACATCCTCCCAATGCGCATGGGTAAATCATACAAGAAAAAAAGTTTGTGGCTTTGAGGTCCGGATTATAGATCATTCCGGATAATGGACGTCCGGATTACAGATTTTGTACTGTATAAACAATTTTGGCAATCCAAAATTTGCATACGCACATGATTTACTTAGGGCAAGAGGAATAGCACATAAGATTATGAAGATTATTAGCAATAATAAGGGGCATTGTGTGATTCGTGTATTTGTATAATTGTGTGGTGATTTTTGTACTGGCGTAGCCCGTATAGGGTCATATGGCAAACTTTGTTTTAACAAAACAAATGCTAATTTTCACATTTTCCTGCCTTCCACCCTGTGCTCACTATCATTGGCTGCTATTGTCATCCAACCTTAGCAATTGTCCACCAAGGTACAACTGTTTTTTTCATTAAAATTTACCGTCTATTCCATTTTTACCAAACACTGTAGTGCTATTTACATTTAAGTTAATTAATTCTTATAAAAGCATATAGGTTAGAGTAAATTGAAGGGTGCCCCTTGTATTATCAGTAAGTCGTTCTTTTATTTATGGTAACCTGAGTTGTTGAATGTTATGGAAGTCCTATTATATTGCGTGTGGTTGCATGATTGCCATAAATTTTGAATGATGGGAAAAAGATTTGCAAAGGCTTGTGATATGTGTTGGTTAGGAAGTACATTGCTTGATTTGTGGTTTAGACGGTAGAAAGGCTGAATGTGGTAAGATTAGTTTTAAAGTTTCTGTACGATTTGGAACGAAAGGGAAAAAGTGCATTAATCCACTGGTGTGTAAATGAAAGGTTTACTTAGTAGCCATTATAAGTGCCCCGTTTACAGGAAGGAAATGAACGTCGGAGGATATTGGCCCTACGGAAGATATTTTTGTGAATCTGAGTGGCGACGCCGATATACGGACTCTAGTTCAGATCACTTTAGGAAGTTTTTGGATGCTGTTAAGGAATTGGTGAATCTTTACATTATGGTAACTTGGCGATTTTTTGGCGACCAACCCTGCTACAGCAACCTGCTAGTTTTGTTTTGGACGCCATTTTGTTTTCACGAAGTAAAGGCATCTTTTTTTTTTAACTCAACATTTTTTCTAGCAATCTGCTAGCCGAATTACGTTTATACTAGAACTTTTATGGAACATAAATGCTTAATCATGACGAAGATTAGGAGTGAAATTGGGAGAAAGTGCAGAATCGCAAATTGCTTGCTGCGTTTTTAAGAATCGCACATACACGGTATCCATGCACACGTCCACCTATTTTCACTTAAAAAAACATCCCAGAATTGCACAAAAATGGCATTGCACACACTCTTGACTTTATCTATGTACACATCGACCTATTTCACTTAAAAAGTCAAAGAAAATTGACAAAAATCTAATTCTTCTTACTCTTGTAAAAAGCGCCAAACAAATAAGTGCGCGATTCTGCACTTTAGCAGCGAAATTATTTCTAAGTGCTTATTAGCTACAATCACGATCGGAATTTTCCGGAAAATGTCACATTACATGTCTCATGATCTCTTATTTCTCTAAGACAAAATAATCTGAGATTCGAACTGTGTACTTCTCAGATTATTGCTAAAGTCCTAGGTAGTAACCTTTATCGCCTTACCAAAATGTCGCCAAACTACCTGTTACCATATTCTAAAGATTAGCCAAGGAATTTCGTGTGCCACAGACTGAAGGACCTTGGAAATTTCTAAATAAGGTAAGTGGATATTTGCTTTGTGTAGTGCTTAAATGCACAACATGGATTTCCTCTTTATTTTATTATATATTTTTTGTTTGGATTTACTGTAGAATTGGGTGCTCCTTTGAGTTTTTAAGTGACAACTGATCGACTTCTACATTGGCAAAGTCAAGGGAAAGCACAACACCAAGTTTGTGCAATTCTCTGACGTTTTTTCAAGCGAAAATAAGTTGATGTGTACATGGATAAAGAGAAGGGAGTGCACAATGGCAAGTTTGTGCAAGTCTCTGATGTTTTTTTAAGTGAAAATAGGTCGACGTGTACATGGATACCGAGTTTATGCAATTCTTTGACTTATTTTGTCTTTGTGCAGCGGCGATTTTTTTTACAAAATGGTGGTATGTGGACACAATCGGTATCCATGTGCCATGAAAAATCACCAAGGGGCATCCACAAATATATTTTTACCAAACATATATTTTACTAAATTACTTATTTTATATTGCTTAAATTGGCTGGTCTCAATCTCTTTTGTTCCGTACACCCCTTTCATCACTGGTAGATGATCACCCCCCCTCAATATTTCACTTTAAAAATATTTGTTTAAATTTAGATTATATTTTGGCATGTTTTATAAACTAAACAAGAAAAGTATAGAAAAAAACTAATAAATATCAACACTTGGAAGCACTTCCGCAGAGAACCCGGTAAATGTAAACATCGCCAACTTTGGCGATAACGGTTCAAAGCTGATAACCCACAGTATTTATCCTATTTGCTTGTTCGAAGTTTGCAACCATTCTTCTTGCGTTCAAATTTTGTTGAAATATCACTGTCGTTGTTAGCATTTGCAGATTTATATTATTCTTCTCTTATTTATTATTATTTTTTATGAATTTCTTAACAACGAATAGATAAAAATATTTTCGTAGATAGATGCCGGTTCTCGGTTCGGGATGAAAGGAAGAAAATACGGCGGGAGGGGTGAATGCTAATTTGTAACACGGCTGTTCACGTTGTGTTCTTAATTATTAACAGCTCTAAGAACCATGAGGTTTCCAACCTCTAAAATAATTTGTTTTTGTAGGCTGCAAAAATGTGCATGTGCATTTTAAATAATTAAGTAATGCTTTTATTTTTATTATTGTCATCTAAAATTATGAGAATAAATCAATTTTTACGGCATAAAATTCTTAATGCTTTTCTAACAATAACATTTCAGAGGATGGCAAGTGTGACATAAATAGATGATTAAATTGAAACAAAAATATTACTGATTATATAAGATGACAGAATAGTTTGATGCATCGCCATAGTCATCAAAATTAACAAACCACTGCTGGTGTAAGGAATATATTTATTTTCTGAGTTAACTGTAATTTAAGACAAATTTTTTCCATATATCACGTTTAACCAATTCATTTCAGTATATTAATACTAATTTATGTTTTTTAAATGAATTTTTATTTCCATTATAAATGCTTCTGTGCTAACTTGAATTTAATACAAATTAATTTTCATATATCATGTTTAACCGGTTAGATTTACATCGACATGCTTATTATCTGTGAATTTTTTCTACCATATGTTTAATATATTGTTTTGTCTGCTAACTTGAATTTACATGCACTAAAAATCCCGTTTACGGCTCGGCTCATCGTGGATGAACCACGAGCTTGGCGAGTAAAAATGCAACAGCGCCAACGGGTTCTTTCCCGAAGTGCCAACGGGTTCTCTGCGGATGAAAACCCCAACACTTAAATAAAAGTAGCTTTTTATATTCATAAACTAAAACTAAATATTCAGCAGGTAAGCAAAAGACTGACAGTATTCCTCACCCTCTGCCTTCTTTGAAAACCTCTGGCTTAAATGAAAGCAAATAAATTAAAACAAATAAGTAAAAAAAAAAAAAGTTAATCTGCTTTGGCTAAGAAAGTACAAAATAAACAGCAATAACTAGCAACTAATGTTAGTAATCTTTTACCGTTTGTTAAATAAAGTATTTAAAGTACAATTGCATTCTACATATCCCATGCTACCAAAATTACAGGATAATGCATTTTTTAAAATATTGAATACATACTTCTTGTATATTCGGCATGTCCAATAATTCCCCAAATACGTAAATTCCAGGAGCTATAAGAACTTGTTTAATCAGTTCCACAGCAGCAGCTCCTTTCGCTGTTTTGGACAAAATCAAATACTGCTCTAAAAGAGCTTGCTGATTAACAGTCGGTGGATTTTTTTCGCTCATCTTCCGATAAAAATAAATAAATCTAGCAACCAGGAACCTGAGAAAATTGATTATATCTGTAAGAGAGAAAAATAACTTCGGTTTAAAACATAAATAACAACAATCTATTTAATTTAAAACGTTCTACCCTATGGTACACAAAGAAAACAATTTTTATGAATCACTAACCCGCCAAAAAATTAAGAATAACCGTTTTCTTAAGTTATTGCTCAATAGCTTATATTTTAAGAAGAAAGCATTCAAAAACTGTGAATTTAAGATATATTAGTTTACCAGCAAGAGATTCATATAAGATAATCTTACCGACACAATCAAACAAACAAAACCACTGTCTTCCCTTCCATTACGCTATAGTAAATCATCTATTGTCATACAACAAAAATAAAATATTTTAATTCAGTTTTCCTGAATTATAATTTATGAAAACAAAAATTTTCATTGAAATTTTTAATAAAAATATTCCCAAAATTTAAATAATTTCAAATAATCCTTTCTTCTAATGTTTGGAAATCAAACTAAAATAATTAAATGCACACATTTTAAGTAATTAATCTTAAAAGCTAAGCAATTAAAATTGAAAAGCAAAAGATTCTAAAAGCTAACGCAATTATTTTTGATTAATCATTAATTAGTCTGACTAATGGCAAGATTTTTTCTTTTTGTTTAAAAGCCTAATTTATAAATTTTAATAACATGGTTGTTCTAGTTATGGTTAAAATAACCACAATATTTTTCTTATTTAATTGATAAAATCAGTAAAAATGATTTACATTTTTATAAAGCCTTCATAACAAAAAATAATAATAATAATAATAATAATAATTTTAGCACATGCAAAATTTAGGAGGAGGTGTTTGACAACTCAACGTTATATTCTACGTTTGTAAACAAATCATTCAATATTAAATAATTTATTGAATAAAGAATGTAATCCATTGTAAATATTTAACGTATTAAGCTAATAAAGAATTTATCATGGTCCTAAATCGTGTGGCACGATTTACTGTTCCAAAATATTTCAATTCGTTTAAAAATATCGGAATATTTGTAAATTCTGCAGATTTGACCAAAGTATCATATAGATGTTCTCATTTCACGTACGTACCAGATACAGTATCTGCATCTGATGGTATTAACTTTTTTTTAATTTAATATCATATTTTTGTATTATGTAGATTCGCATATGTATTTAATTTTTTAAAATTATTTATAAAATATCATATAAACACACGCATGCATGCATACATTTCTAATAACAAAAATGAAATAATACATGAATTTTTCAATAACAAAAAAGTACCATAGAAAAATTTTACAAATCAGAGAGACTAGGTGTCATTATTTATTCTAAAGATTTGTGTAGTTTGGAATTCTCTGAAAACAAAGTTTTTGTGATATGTTCAGTTACTATCATTATTTGTTTAGTTTAAAAATTATTTAAATAGAGCTATTTAATGATTAATTAACCCTTTGCACTTAAGACATGGCTCTCAGTCACCACTTCATTTGATGCCGTAACTCGAGAGGTGACTCACGGTCACCTCTTGGTTTGATGCAGTAACTTGAGGGCTGACTTTGTATCATCTCTCTATTTGACATGATTGTTTAAATAGTAACAATGTTTAGTTAGGTTTGGTTTGGCCAATATTGCTTCAAGAGTATGTGTTATAACAAGCACTTGCATTAATTTAGAAGTCAAACAACAATCTTAAGCACATGCATGTAAAACAACTGCCAATCTTTAGTCTTAAATAAGTTTTGTAGATATATTGTTATAAATGCATCTTTAACATCAGTTTAGACTTGATAATTATTGCAATAGGAATATTATTTTCAAAGATATGGGGTGTAATATTCATGGCTATGATGAAGGAACTTGGTCAAGTGAGGATGAGTTTGATTTTTCATTGATGAAGAACAAAATTATATCTGTGCATGGATTACTTGATGACAGAAAGCAGAAAAGCAGTGATGATGGTAACAATGTTATATGAGAATGCCATTTGTATCCAGCAAAAAAGCTGCAGGACCACAAATATCTTCAGTCATTAAAGAACCGTTAGATTTCTTTAAATTGTATGGGAAATCATTTTAAGTTAGCTGTAAGAAATTTACCAAATGTGTGGAAAATTGTCTTCAGTTGAGCAAAAATGTCCTTGAGTGCAATGGGTTAAACATATTAGGATTGAAATAAATATTACTCTGAACGTTTCATATTTAGCTGTTGTTGTGTTTGAATTGCAAAATGTAGCAAATAATAACCTGTGTTAGATGCCAAACTGAATGTTTCAGATAAAAAATTAACGTACATTTGAATTGTTTCCTGTTATTATTATTATTTATGTGTTGATAAATATTTAGTAAGCCAAATTTAAAATTAAGTTGAATTATTTTTTATTTTATCAGTAAAAAACTTCCGGTATTTGTTTTCTGTAATGTCCTTGATGAGAAGGTGAATGGCATTTGGATTTAAGCGAGTGGCAGGTTGCAGAATGGTGCTAACATCCACAAAAACAAAAATGACTACTATTAATGATAAACCGGCACCGGTGGCGTGATGCTGTAATTCAGCTGCCTTGGAGGTCTGGGCTGCTGGACAGCGTGAGGTTCTGTCCTCAGTGTCTCCCTAAACTCGATCAGGCTTCCAAACTAAGTACGTTTAAGCAGGAGCGAACCGGTGCAGAGCGAAAACTATTAATGATAAATTAGCAGTTCGTTCATTATCTATATAATGCAAGTTATTTAATATAAACATATAGAAAGAATTCAACATAAACTTGTATTTAATATAATTTTGTCAGCAATTTATTTAAAATAGCATCATAATTCAGCAGAACTTATTTAACATATTGCATTAATTAACATATTTGATGCAATTATGTAAGCCATTTATTTAAAATAGTAACGTAATTCAAGAGAACTTATTTAATATATTAATGCCTGAAATATAACTATGCCTTCTTTTCCATCAATGGAAGATCAAAAATATTAAACCTAATGAGTATGTCACAATGCAAAAACGCTGTATTGACACAATGCTGATACGAAAAATCAGATTGTTAACCTTGTGTTTTTCGCACATGCACAGATCAGTAACCATTTCTTTCTTGCCAGTGTGGAAATGTGTCAAATTCACATTTTTGCTAAGGCCATCACAGAAGACAAGTACCAACATTTCATTTTGTTTAAAAAAACATTCTGGCTTATTAGTTGTGATGTATTTGCTCCAAGTGCAATTTGAGTTTCAGACCACTAAAGACATATAGACTCTTAGAGCACCTGGAAATTATTGTACTTTCCTGTTAGTGGGGTGGCAGTCACCAGATGTGTGCCAGAATGCCGAATATGGCCTGTTTATATCGGGTCATAAACAGCTGTACAGTGATAATGTGTATACAGTACAAAGTCTTTAATCCAGACGTCCATAATCCGGAATGATCTATAATCCGGACCTCAAAGCTGCAAACTTCCTGCGCATGCACGTTTAATGTATAATGGTTGATATAAGCTAGGCTAAAATTATCTAATTATCTATTTCAGTTAATGTTGCAGATTGCGTTGTTTCTTAATCTTCTAATTGGATCCGGCTTATTATTTTTTGCAGCCTGTTAGAGCAATTTTACAAAAAGTAAGCTTGAACTTTCGATTATGTCAAAAAGTGTTTCCAATTCTGGAGCTGCCGGTTGATCTTTACAATATGGTAACTGGTAGTTTGGCGACATTTTGGAGGCGATAAAGGTTACTACCTGGGACTTTGGTAATAATGTGAGCAGTACTCAGTTCCGATTACGCATTATTTTGTGTGAGGAAATGAGAGAATTCATGGGATATGTCATGTGATATTAATGGACGAATTATGGTTCTTTAATCGGAAAAGGGGGGAAATCGGGAAAAAATCTGGAAATTTTGTATTTGGCTTTATTCTGTGTTGTGTGAAACAGTGTTCGTGAATTTTTGGATCCCATGGCCGTAACTAAAGTGAATTCGAAATGGGTATTTATGTATGTATTAATTTAATGTATGTGCTCATTTATATTTTAAGTAGTGTTTTTGAATTTAATTATATTTTAATTAAATGATAGTTATTTTGTGAATTTTATGTTGTAGGAAATTTGGTATATGTTTTAGTTGAAGTAAACGTGCATGGAAATAATTTAAATATCTGACACTAAGTATTTGTAATGTTTGCGGTATGAATTCGTTGGTGACGTGTATAATGTAATACAGTCAAAAGTCTTTAATCCGGACTCGTCGGGACTTCGGCGATTCCGGATTATCGATTTTTCCGGATTATAGATCATCAGTTTAAATCTGGTAAGATGGCATGCAGAAATTATAAAATTAAAAATATGAAACCGTAATTTATAAAATAATGAGCAATTATGATCTAAAGGGTATCCAAAATTTACCAAAAAAGAAAGCCTAATATTTATTGTTTACTTTATTAAACATTTCTTTTAACGCGCGGATGCGTAAAGCATACCTTACTCATAGCCGAAATTAGAAAATTGCAACCAGAAAACTATGTGATTTGTATTCGTGATATTTATAATGACGAGGAATTTGATTTAAATCATATCAAAGACGGAGTACATCGAAATTAAATACTACATATAGTAAGGAATTATAAGCCGACTAAAATAAAAACATCTGCCCTGAAGATAACGATAGTGTTGACAGATCAACTTCCAGTTCATTGCGCGCCGCGAAGTGCCCCCCTCCCCCCCCCCCCCCGCAGAGCAGCGTGAAATTGATAAACAGATTTCGGAACGGTTAGATAAACAAAGGATATGCTTTTATCCATTTTTTGTAGCAATTCGTTTTTTGTTTGATGGACATCGAAACATACTTTCGTTTTCTAGATCCTTTGGGAGCTCCAGCATCGGAAATTCTATTTGACATAATCGAAAGTTCAAGCTTACTTTTAGAAAGTTGCTCTTACAGTCTGCAAAAAATAATAAGCCGGATCCAATTTGAAGATTAAGGAACAACGCAATTATCAACATTAACTGAAATAGATAATTAGATAATTTTACCTTTTACCGTCCGTTATACATTAAACGCGCACGCGAAAAACGTATTCTGCACTTGCGCAGATGCATATGCGCAGTGGTAAATGTCTTGCGCGCACGAGTAAAACGCCTATGCGCATGCGTCAATGCGGCGCATGCGCAGAAAGATTTTAGCTTTGAGGTCCGGATTATAGATCATTCCGGATTACGGGTGTCCGAATTAACGACTTTTGACTGTAGATGATTTAGAGGTAAAAGTTTTTGGATATTTTATTTATTTTATATGTGGAAATGTTCATCTTCGGAAAGGATAAATACTTTTTCGCGATCAGGTAATTTCATATATGTTCTTTTTACCGGGTTTAAAGATTGAGAAAATTGTCATGTATTTTCGTGAAATTTTTCTAATTTATGAGAAAAAAGCAGTGTACATGGATTTAGTGAAGAGTGTGCGCAATGCCATTTTTGTGCAATTCTGGGATTTTTTTTAAGTAAAAATAAGTCGACATGTACATGGTTTAGTGATATTTTAATTAAATGATAGTTATTTTGTGAATTTTATGTTTGTAGGAATTTGGTACAACGTTTAAAGTTGAAGTAAACGTGCATGGAAATAATTTAAATATTTGATACTAAGTATTTGTAATGCTTGCGGTGTGAATTCGTTGGTGCGTGTATAATGTAATAGATGATTTAAAGGTAAAAGTTTTTGGATATTTTATTTATTTTATATGTGGAAATGTTCATATTTGGAAAGGGTAAATACTTTTCCGCGATCAGGTAATTTCATATATGTTCTTTTTACCGGGTTTAAAGATTGAGAAAATTGTCATGTATTTTCATGAAATTTTTCTAATTTATGAGAAAAAAGCAGTGTACATGGATATAGTGAAGAGTGTTCACAATGCCATTTTTGTGCAATTCTGGGATGTTTTTTTAAGTAAAAATAAGTCGGCGTGTGCATGGTTTATGTGTATGTGTTATTTTGAAAAACGCGTAAGGAGTATGGTATTGTGCACTTTTTCCCAATTTTGCAGTGAATATTTGTCATGATTAAGCAGTTTTGTTAGATAAAATTTCTAGCATAAGTGTAATTCGGCTAGTAGATTGTTGGAAGAAGTGTTCAGTAGATAAAAAGAAAAGAAACATGTCTTTACTTCGTGAAGACAAAATGGCGGCGGGAAAAAAAAAAAAAAAAAAATAGAGGGTTGCTGTAGGAGAGTTGGTCGCCAAATTTTTGCCAAAAAAACGCCAAGTTACCATAATGTAAAGATCAACCGAGGTGCCAAAGGATCTGCAAAGTGAAAGCATGTTTCGATGTCCATCAAACAAAAAGTGAAATTGCTGCAAAAAATGGATAAAGGCATGAAGAAAGTGACAGAGAGGTTAGTGAAAACAAAAAATTTCGATTGACAATTTTTTGTAATTTTGTAGGTATTCTCGGCACAGCAATTACAGGACTTGAACGGCAGAACTTTGTAACTGAACAAGAACTTATGTCTGTTTATAGAATTAAAGAGATAGTATTAGCACATAAAATGAAGCAACATTACATTGAAAGAAATGTTTAATAAAGTAAAAAAATATTAAGCTTTTTTTCTTTTTGTAAATTTTGATACCCTTTAGATCATAATTGCTCTTTATTTCATAAATTACGGTTTCATATTTTTAATTTTATAATTTCTTCATGCCATCTTACCAGATTTAAATTGATGATCTATAATCCAGAAAAATCCCTAATCCGGAATCACCGAAGTCCCGACGAGTCCAGATTAAAGACTTTGTACTGTAACACTTATTATATGAAAAGGAAACTGATTTTCTCCCCATGTACACTGTGATCCATTTTTTGCTTAATAAATGCCTTTCATACGAGGCTTCTATATTTGTGTATTAGGAAAACGTTTTTGGAGAGCGAAAAGGTATAGTGTAGGCTTTTAGCTCTAGGCCAAAATAATGTTATTTCAGAAGCAAATAGCAGAATTTTATTTTTAGGTATAGCATGTGTAAAATGCAAAACATTTAGTCTGCTGTTGTACACTGTGCAAAAAAAATAAGATGGTTCTCTATCTCCCATTCTACTGAGCCGATTGATGAAATTCAACTTGCATTTTTCATGTCTCAAAAGCACAAATTAGGATATGTATTAGATTTATATATAGCATTGTTCTAATATATGCATTTTGACACAGAATTGGACTTTTTCTGAAATAACATATACATTTTTTTTCCCTTTTTCAATTTTATGACCCAAATTATGCCAAACTGTCAAGTTTTGTAAGGATTTGTACGAGTAGTTTTTAAAAAATTAGCTCTCAAATTTTAGCTTCTCCATGTTAATTGAATCTTGTATCTGTTTATTAATATCTCTTTTTTTATTAAATTTATTTGATTTTTCTTTTCACATTTCAAAATTTAGATTCATTCCAAATAAAATTCACCCATTTTTTATAATTTATTTTTAAAATCTATATTTTTTTTAAAAATTTATGTTTTTCAAAAAAAATTTTGAATTATAACCTATAAAATTTTAATGTTAAATTTTTAAATTTCTCTATAAATTTTGCGACAAATTTTACAAAATTTAATATTTTGGCATAATTTCAATATTAGAATAGAAATATGGAAAAAAAATGGCATGTCATTTCAGAAAAAGGCCGATTTTGTGTGAAAATACCTATGTTAGATAAATGCTATGTATTAATCCATATCCTAATTCGCACTTTCGAGACATGAAAACGCAAGTTGAATTTGGTCAATCGATCCAGTAGAACGGAAATATAGAATTGTCCCTTTTCTTTTTTTCCTTTTCTTTTTTCTTTCTTTTTATCCCCCCGCAGTATACATGTTGGAAGTGTAACATTCCATGATTATTGGCAGGCTGAGCATTTTGGTAGGAGGATGTCAGCCATATAGTACTCTAATCTTCCATAGAATATGGGCATGTGGAAGGCCCTAATTTCAATTTCAATTTGTTTTATTATATCGATTTCAGATTTTATAACACTTCAACGAATTTTTTAATAAAAAACTAAACTATTTTAAAGCGAGCGATGGCAACACTGTACGAAAAAAACATTTTTATCTCTAGCGTGCAAGACTCTGTGTCGGAAATACTAAAGATAGGCTCATTTTTAAATTAATGTGCAATATTGCTGTTGAACTGAATTTTATACTTTGAGTACGTTGAACATGATATTTAATAAGTAAAGGTGACACATAAAATGTTAAAAAACACCCCTTTGGACGTCTACCTTGAAACACCCCCTTGGAATTTAAAATCTGAAAAACCTTTCAGATTTAAAAAAAAAAAAAAAAAAATTTTGTTATTTTATTTACTTAATTTTTCCTTCCTTTCTTAGAGTCTTTCTTGGGGTCTGGAACTTTTAATATTAGAAATTAAGCCCTGACCTTTTTTTATGTCCACTGTTCAGGTCTCTCTCTCTCTGTGTATATATATATATATAGCAAATGAAAATATAATATAAATATAATATGTATGAAATATAATGGAAATGTAATATGTACTTAGAAACAGCACATGTCTACTTAAAGCATTGTAGTGAACCAGAAGTTTGATGTGATTGCTCTAAGTGTTTTTATATTTATATGCAGGGGAAACCGCTCGTATGAATCTTTTCCAATCTGTGACAAATGCTATAGATACGGCCTTAGGTGTAGATCCTTCTGCAGGTATGTTATGAATTTTTCCATATTATAATTTTTCCATTTCTAAAAAATGTCATATGAAGAGGAAATACTGATCTAAATGTTCTTTGTGTATTTTGCACTGATATGATTCACTGAAATTGCCTAACAAGAGTTCTACCAGTTTTGTATAAAAATCACATAGTGTTTTGACTTGATACCTTTTTAAAAAAAATGTGGAGAACTTACTTTTTTTAAAAAATATACTTTAAAAGAAAATATTTCTTATATTAATATATAAAAATATAAATATTTTTTAAATATAATATTTTTATTAAAAATATAAATAATTTTTAAAAAAAAAAAACTACTCTTATATGCACCCTCAGGTTGCCAAATGCGGTGATATGTGTTGTACGCTGGTATTTGGCATGATTACGTGTTCTGCAATGGTTTTGGGGGTGATGTTGGTTTCTATGGCAACCCTTTTTACGTGGAAACTTGGATTTGCAGTTGGTTCATGTGGTGTTTGGTAATTAAGTGTTTTATGACGTGTTGGCAGAATTTTAGTGGCGTGCCTGGTACAACTACTTTTTACGGGGCTGGAAATTCTACAAGTATTTAGAAAAAGGTTTGTGATATTTATTTGTCAAAGATAGTATCAATTTTGTGGATAGTGAATCTGGCTGTCATATAAATACGATAGAGATTCCTTGACAGCATGTTAAAACTACGTTGCCTACTTATAGATCAGAAATGTGATTTTGTGTTTTATTTGGTGGTTTATGTATTTTTCCATTGTTGTTTTGAAACGGGAGAAGATGCTTTTGACAAATTTGTGGTGACATTGTTTTTGAAATTCGTATTTCTGCTGTTCGAAGAAGCATTCATTCATCGTAAGTGCATTTTATTTTATTCTTGTTCTTATTTTGTAGAATGTTCTGTTCATTGTTTTTAGTATGATTTCTGTCGTTATTGTTTTTTTTAATTGTTTGAAATTTATTTCAGTTTATTTTGTTGATTAGTGCGCAATGCCTAGACTGTGCAATTCGTAGATGTTTTTTAAAGTTTAAACAGAATGCTGCATGCATAGTATTCTTTGAAATTTATTGTTGTTAAATTAATTTTTTAAGCGAGGTGTGCGTAGTTCATAGATTCCTTCGCTCTGCATACATTGTTCAATTCTGTGATGTTTTTTTAAGTTAAAACATATCACTGTGTACATGAATTTTTGTCAAATATTTTTGGTTAGAAACTTTACTTTTTTGCTATCTAAATTTTTTATTTTTGTTTCGGATTTTTAGCTTAAATTGTGTGTTCAAAACATAGTTTTTAGAGACATTTTAGGCTTAAAGTTTGAAATGTAGGCAAAACATATAGATAGAAATATGGGATCGTGAAGTTTTTTGCCGAAAATATTTGGCGAGAAATTTGTCGCCAAGTGAGGGCGTATATAAGAGTAGTTCCCTATGAGTTATTAGCCAAGGGAACAATTTGCCCAGAAGGGCTATTAATTCCATTTTGGTATTTTGCATGTATTCACTATAAACAACATTTCACTTTTCAAATAGTTGGCATCAGATATTGGAGCCCTGCATTATATTTAAAGAATTTTAATTTTCTATTTCATGTTTTGTAAAACTTTAACAAATATTTTTAATAACAATTTTAATAACTCAATGATTTCAAGTCAAGAAAAGGGAACACTGTATGCAGAGGTGGAATTTTTATCTCCAGCTCACAAAACCGTGTACCGGAAATTCTAAAAATATGCTCTTTTTAAATTGTTTTGCTGTTGAATTGAATTTTATTCTTTAAGTGCGAAGAACATGATATTTAATACATAAAGGTAATGACGAAACTTTGAAAAATTAAAATCTGAAACCTTTCAAATATTTAGTCCAAAGTTAGTTAATTTAAAGAAATTAAATAACAAAAAATCTTCATAAATGTATATTTCTTGTATTGTGATAAAACAGTGATACCTAAAGCCATCGAATTTTAAATGGTGTAATCCTCCTATGAATATGGGCATGTGGAAGACCAGATTCGAAATTTGAAATTTGTTTTATTATCAATTTCCTATTTTGTAAAGCTTTAACGAATTTTTGATTAACAAACTCAAGATTTCAAAGTGAGCCATGGCAATGTTGTTCAGAAAAAAAAAAAAAGAAAAAAAATTATCTCCAGCGCACGATTTTCTGTATTGAAAATTCTAAAGGATATGCTCATTTTAAAACTATTTTGTGATATTGCTGTTGAACTGAATTTTATGCTGAGAAGTGCGAAGAACGTGATATTTAATAAATAAATGTAACACACAGAATGTTAAAAAAATGCCGCTTTGGACGTAATTTAAAATCTGAAGCCTTTCAGATTTTGTTTTTTAATAATTTTATTCATTTTTCTTTCAGTGGTATTCGGTGAGGATGTTGCATTTGGTGGTGTATTTCGATGTACAGTTGGCTTACAGGATAAATATGGTAATGGATTTTCGTGTATTACTTACTGAAATATGTTTTGTCTTATTTTCATCTCTACTTTATTTTTTATTTTGTTTAATTTAATATCTTTATTTGATACTCTAAGCATTATGGGTTTGGCCTTGAAATTTCAGAGTTGCCCAGAATATCACGAGTAAATGCTATTTTTTCCATTATACAGTCAAAAGTCGTTAACTCGGACACCCATAATCCAGAATGATCTATAATCTGGACCTCAAAGCTCAAAACTTTCTCCACATGCGCATAGGCATTTACGCGTGCGCATAAGACCTCACGACTGCGCATATGCATGTGCGCAAGTGCAGAATACGTTTTCGCGTGCACGTTTAATGTATAACGGATGGTATAACCTAAAATTATCTAATTATCTATTGCAGTTAATGTTGATGATTGCGTTGTTCCTTAATCTTCGAACTGGATCTGGCTTATTACTTTTTTCAGACTGTAAGAGCAATTTTACAAAAGTAAACTTCAACTTTCGATTATGTCAAATAGAATTTCCGATGCTGGAGCTCCCAAAGGATCTACAAAATGAAAGTATGTTTCGATGTCCATCAAACAAAAAGTGGAATTGCTGCAAAAAATGGATAAAGACATGAAGAAGGTGACAGAGAGGTTAGTGAAAACGAAAAAATTTCGATTGACAAGTTAGTCAGTATTCTCGGCACAGCAATTACGGGACTTGAACAGCGGAACTTTGTAACTGAACAAGAAAATTATGTCTGTTTATAGAATTAAAGAGAAAGTATTATCACATAAAACGAAGCAAATTACATTGAAAGAAATGTTTAATAAAGTAAACAAATAAGTTTTAAGCTTTTTTTTTTTTTTTTTTTGTAAATTTTGATACCCTTTAGATCATAATTGTTCTTTATTTCATAAATTACGGTTTCATATTTTTAATTTTAGAATTTCTGCATGCCATCTTACAAGATTTAAACTGATGATCTATAATCTGGAAAAATCGATAATCTGGAACTATATATAATCCGGATGCCGAAGTCTCGACGAGTCCAGATTAACGACTTTTGACTGTAATTCTAAACTGGCTCTCTCACTTTGTTCCAGTTTTGCCAGGTCATGCGATTTTGTGCAAATTTTCAAATTTTGATGAACTTGTGCTACTAAAATTTTAGTATTTACGATTTTGTGAAATTTTTGCGACATCCATCATTTTCTTATGGTACTTTTTGCGACTTCAAAGTTTTTTTAATATATCGTAAAAGGCTTTTATTTTAAAATAATTTATCAATTAAATATAATTTATATTAAAAATAGTTTATATAGGCTTAAGTAGAAGTTGACATTTAGATGTTGGCTTTCCTTTTCAAGGCTGCACAGCCTAACGCCAGTATTACAAGAAAAGGTTAAGGAAAGTGAAAAAAAGTAAAAAAGAAAAAAATGCTTCAGGACCTCTCACTACCCTCCCTTGTCCCCATGGATTTTGTTTTTAAGTCATTTCGCCCCCCAGTTCTATGGTGATAATAAATCGAATCAAAGAACTTGCAGCTTGTGCGTCATATATTGGGTATCCAAACAAAGAAATAAATAAAATTCAGACTCCTGATTATAATATTACTAAGATATAATATTATAAGAACAAAGCAATGGAAATGACTTGAAAATCAAAGCAATGGCATTTTTTCTAAATAACAACAAAAATAAATTTATCAGTGAAAGAAAAAGGCTTTCTTAAGTAATCAGAATCTGTAACAGATCCACCACACAGAATGGAAAACTCACTGAAAAGCATTCCTCAATTAAAATGTTCACAATTAAGGAAAAAAACAATGAATTAAAAAATTAGCTGCCAACTCAAAAAATTTAATTCAAAAGAGCTAACAGTCTAAACGTGATTTAAACAATTGAAAATGAGCAATGTGGTTTTAAAATGTTTGTTAAAGCTACATCCGTAATAAAAAAGATTAAGAATCGAATAACAGTCTGTAACTTACAGAACGAATAAACAGTAAATTTGTGATGATGTCAGAGGTCATGTGAGCCTGCATAACTATGATGTCATAAAAAATCATGTGATCTCCGACATCATTTTGCGATTTTTTGCGACTTTTTTTGGTCTCCTTTTGCTACTTTAGTTGAAAGGTTTCTGGCAACACTGCCTTATACCTTGACTCTTTTTCTTCCAATACGTATTCAACCTGAAATTGGATTGATGAATATATTTTAGAAATTTTCATGTGTAACGAATCTGAAAGCCATTCTTCAATACAGAATGCGGCACTTACATATTTATGCAACCACCATGGTACAGTTATTCTGAAAAGTAAAAAATTGCTTTTGGTAAAGTGTTAAAAAGTTCAGGATTTTCATGATTTTTTTTAGAAAAAACATTCCTGAACTATCAAAAGTTATAATTTGGAAAATATTATCAATTTATCAAGCAAAAAACATTTTAAAATAGAAATTTTAATTGTTAAATAAAGATTACATGATATAAAAAAAATAAAACATATTTTTCACAAAACCCTTCTGCATATTTTTAGCACTGTTCTCCCCATGTACACAGTGATTTATTTTTTCTTTAAAAAATCAAAAGTTTCCACAAACTCTATTAACTACCAAACCCATCTCATCATTGTCCCCTTTAGTAAATGGGGGGGGGGCAAAATAGTACATTCAAGCAGAACTTTTATCACAGTTGCCAAATTCCACTAACAACATTTTAATACAGAATTAAAGGCAAAAAAATATTATGGTTTTTCAATAAAAACAATTGGAATTTGGAATACAATGAAAAGAATACAGGCAATACATGATTCTGCTTGATTAAGTGCTGAAAAATGTTTATGTAATTGGTTGTCAGAGTTTGGAATATTCTGAAAATTTGGTGATATCTGCTAAGGTGGTTGCGATAATATGTAAGTACCCAGAATTTCATCCCTTTAGTGTTAAATATGTCTTTGAAATCCATTTGCTGCAAATAATTTTAGAGTAAATTTTACTTTTTTTTCTACTTAAGAAGAATTTTCTGTGTCTTATTTAAAAAAAAAAAAAATGATATCTCATTGACCGCAAAATTTGACGGAGATTCTGCCAAAGTTGCGCCAGACAATCTTATGGCCAGATTTACGTATAAGCTACACAAGCTATATAGCTTAAGGTCTCCACTTTCTTGGGGGCCTCAAAAAATTTTAAATATAGTATAAATCAGCAGTCGTCAACCCTTAGAACTTCATGGACCACTACATGTATAATTTTATATTTGGCAGACCACTAATATGAATTTCATCAAAGTACATAAAATAAAAAAAACTGATTTGAATTTTGAAAAAATCGCTTTGAGGTACACTGGCTCTTGTCTAGGTGCACCTATGTACCCAATTTCGTAGTCATGGGTCTATTAGCTTACGCACAGCACAAACGAAAGTCACACACCACACAGACAGACTCTTTCTTTTATTATATGTAGAGATTATCCATTCAATCCCTAAAATAGATAAGAATAAGTAAAGCTGTAGGTTTTAAGGAAAGCATGGTGTATGTGGTGAACATTAAATAATTTTTTTCTATGGGATCCAAGTTTACAGTTTAAATTAAAATAGTGCAATAGTCAGCAAAACTATACTCATAATATGAAAGGAAGAAATACAAAATGTGTAACTTTATAATTCTGAAGAAAATAATCTGTTTGTTATTACCTGATATTTCTAAAATTTTATGGCAGTTCTTCATCTCAATAGGACCTAGCTAAAGTTTTTGTTGTTGTTCTGATTTTTAAGAGAGTGTAAAGTTGTCGAAGGCTGGTAGTTTGACCTGGTTTTGAATCCAGACAAACAGGATGACTGCATGGCTATTTTTATGGTTTTTTTCTTGTATGACATTGATATGAGCCAGTTTTCCTTAGAAAGTCTAGAAAGGTTGACTACCCTTAGGCAGATAGTCCTTACTTTCTTTGACATAATTATATAAATGTAAATATAAACTTAAATTTAAAAGATTGCTTTAACATTTGAGTGGTTAAATTGCTAACACAAGTAGTTTTACCTGGGTTCGAAAATCTACCAAACAGACTGTCTGCATAGGAGTTTTTATGAGTTTTTTCCAAATGTTACACGAGACAGTTTTCTTTGAAGCATCCTCCATATAGGCATTCCCAACACTTGAGCAGATAGTTCTTGTGTGCATTGCTGCAGTGCAGATAACTTAATCTAATTTCAAGATTATTTTTGTAGGTAAAGTTTTTTGATGATTTGAATTTTGTGTAGTATGTTGTTTTGTAAGTGCCACTTATTCTTTACATATTTTATTTTATAATATGTAATTTTATCAATAATAACTGTTTTTGGTGAGACTGCATGTCATTTAAATTCTATTTATTAATCTCCTACAAGTTGATTTTTAGTCCAAAGGGGCAATTTGCCCAGAAGGACTATTAATTTCATTTTGGCATTTTGCCTTGATTCACTATAAGCGTTATTTCACTTTTCAAACTGGTGCCACCTAATATTATATGGCAACATGGCTTTAATGAACTTTCAATTGTTTCTAAAATCAGTTATCATATCTATGATGAATATGCCAGACAGCTTATCTAACCAAAATTATGGTACAAAGAGCAACAATATCGTCTTGCAAGTAGCTAGGTTTTAGATAGAAAATAAATATTTTTTTTTCCTTTGCATATTACTGTCATTCATATATGTTTTGATAAAAATTCAGTAAGCAAAACTTAAAATTCATATAAAATATTTTTTATAGAGTTAAGGTGGTTTTCTACAGTAGCATTACAATACTAAAAATTTGTTTACACTTAGAATCGCTAATTAAGTAACTATGTTGCGTGAAATTTGGCAGAAATATAAAGCAATAGATCAGTTTTGGAATCAAAATGTTAGAATCAGGTTTGGAATGAAATTTACTTAAATATTATATTTTAAAAAAATTAGTTTGAAATACGTAATTTTAATGTGTAGTTTGGAAAAGCCATCAATAGATGGCGCTACGAGTTAAAAATTTAG